AGAGATAGAGCAAAACGGACAAAATTTTCGCCCATAGGGCTTTACTTTGACGAGTTACCCCTTAGGAGATCATAAGAAAAGTATTTGTTTCTGACTTTTTTGACCTACCTTATTTTCTTTGACACCCCCTTTTAGCCCTTTAGAATAGAATAGAATAGAATAGAATAAATCTTTATTAGGGTACTCCTTACAAGAGGACTAGTAAGTCCCAATTACATAAGGGCACCCGCTCCCTCTAAATGTTTACAAGGGTTAAAGCAGAGCAAAAAAACAGAAAATAATAATGTATATAACTAAATAACAGTTTTAGTATGTATGTAACAGTAGTATATTAGATCACAGTTTGCTGGTATATTCACTTATAAAATAATTACACATGTCAGTCTTGAGTTTGTTTGGAGAGTTGCACATCATATACTGATAGATATTGAATTGATTCCATAGTTTGCAAGAGCTGACTAAAAAAGAGTTAGAATATTTTACAGTGCGGTGCTGTGGAACAGTCATGGTGTTGTTGGTGAATCTGTTAAGTCTAACACTGGTATTGGAGAGCAAAGAATAATTTTCATAAAGATAGTGAGGCTCCTTATTCTTAATAATTTTCCGTAATAAGAGAACTTGTTGAACTATTTTCCTTTCACTGACCTTGAGAAAGCGAAGATCAATATAGGATTGAGTAATATGGTCTGACTTCTTGGCACCAGTTATAAAGCGCACACAGGCATTCTGTACACGTTGCAATTTAACCACATTTCCATCTAACATATCATTAAAAAGTACAGAGCCATAATCGAACAATGGAAAAAGCAAAGAGTTAACTAGCTTATTTCTAACTGAGACTGGGATAAGAGGCATATTTCGTTTAAGCTGTGCCAATGTTCTGAAGGCTTTTTGCATTACCAGGATACTATGCTCAGTCCAGGAGAGAGTACAGTCAAGCGTTACACCTAAGTTTAAAACAGTTGTCTGATAGGGAATATCAATGCTATTTATAGAAATACAGGGAAGGATATCATACTGCTTCCTCAGTGTAGATAAGTATTGGTTAGAGCCAATGATTATAGGTTGTGTTTTCTCCACATTCAATGCTAGATTGTGTTTTTGACTGTATATCACAATGTTTGATAGATCATGGTTAATTCTATCTACAGTATCACAGAAATTTTCAAGCACAAAGTCAGCATAAACCTGGAAGTCATCAGCATATAAATGGTAATTACAATATTTAAGTACATCACTAATATCATTGATATACAGAGAAAAGAACAATGGACCTAAAACACTGCCTTGAGGGACACCAGTTTCTGGAAAGGCCCAGTCAGAAATATAGTTTAGACCAGAGACTACTCTGTGGCATCTTTCTTTAAGATATTCTGATACCCAGCCGAGTGCACTGTCTGAGAAACCAAAAGATTTCAGTTTTGATAACAGTAATTTGTGGTGCACCCGATCAAAGGCCTTACTGAAATCAAGCAATATTAGAAGATTAATTTTTTTCTTATCAATAGCACGTCTCAGATCATCTGTTACTTTTGTAAGTGCTGTAGTAGTGCTGTATCCCTTTCTGAAACCTGATTGAAGTGGGTTTAGAATGCTGTGCTCATTGAGATAACATACAATTTGCTCATGTACAATTTTTTCCAGTGCTTTAGATAATACACATAGTAATGACACTGGTCTATAGTCTTTGGCTTGAGCAGGGTTTTTGCATTTTGGTATGGGAATAATGTTAGCACTCTTCCAGATCTTAGGGAATACTCCACTTTGTAAGCTAAAGTTAAATACATGTTCAATAACAGGTACAATCAGATCAAGAATAAGTTTAACAAAAGTAACTGAAACACCATCAATGCCAACAGATTTAGAAGTAATGCTTTTAATAGATTTCATGATATCAGCCGGATAAGCATATTTAAAATGGAACTTCTCATGGGCAGGATGACCTTTATTCTCATATTCCAGTACAGCTTGTTTAATTAGATCACCATTTTCGATTGTAGAGACACTGGCATAGTGGTTATTTAACTGATTTGCATTGATAGGGAACTCACAAGTGTTTGAGGTTGAAGACTTAGTTTTAATGCCAAGAGTTCTAATTCCATTCCATATTCCTTTCACTGATGCTTCACTTAATATTTTGTGATAGTATTTGATTTTCTCATTTCTTATAGCCTGTTTCACGCTATTTCTGAGCACCCTGAAATTTTCAAATAAATTGCTAGATCTTTTTTTACAGTACTTGTTCCAGGCAGAGTTGCGCTTCCATATTAGTTTAAGGATATCTTTTGTCATCCAGGGTGTGGCTCGTTGCCTAACATTTTTAGTTTTGACAGGTGCATGTGTGTCCAACACATCAATAATAATTTTGTTAAGTTCATCAACTTTCCTATCTATGTTTTCAGCATTGAACACATTTGACCATGGGGCATTCAAGATATCATCTCTTAGCTTTTCAATATCAATGCTATTGTAATCTCTATAGGAAAGAAGTTCTTTTTTGGATTTGGGCACTCTGACATCATAAAATGCATAAATAAGATCATGCTTAGAAAAGCCTGGTGCACCTGTTTGGCCAAAGGTTACTAGCTTATCTTGAAAGTTGCTAGCTATGGTGTCAAGATTACTATTACATGTGCCAGAATGGAATGTGTTTTCATAAGGTACTCTAGTTAGATCACAGGACTTCAGAGCTCTTTCTATGGATGTACACTCCTCACTTTCAGTTCCAAAGCCAGCATTTAAATCTCCACACAAGGCAACATATGTATAATGAGGTAACAAATCACACAAATCATTTAAAAATAGTTCCATGAACCCAGTATCAGGAGGCCTGTAAATGCACACTATTAATATTTTGGAGGAGTTACTAACCACTTCGACAAAAATATATTCAGGGCTTTGACCATCGCTCTTGGATGAGTGCACTTGTTTTGCAGTGAGATTATCTCTTACATAAAGAGCCACTCCTCCACCATAAGTATTTGTTATTCTATTTGCATAAAAGGTGTTATAGTTGGGGATCTCCGTTAAACTAGAGTCTTTGTAGAAAGTTTCACTAACACCTATCACATCAATGTCACTTTCACTAAAAGTATGACAAAATTCAGCATGATGCACACTATTGTGCAGTGACTGTGCATTTATGTGAATTATTTTAAACAATTTATTGTTGGTACTACTTAAATTACAAACATACTCTTGTAAGTTGACAGCTTCGTTTACACACATACAGTGTGGCAAGGTCGATGCCCACGACCATTTTTAATTAGGGGTGCCAGTGCCAGGAGCTCCCGCTGACCCCCGCACCGCCACCATCAAGGACAAGATCGACGTCATTCTCGCCCGGCGTCTGCACGGCCTGGCCGCGGCCGCCAAGGTCGTGTCCTGTGCGGGCGCGGTCGCCGGCATGCACCACGTCGCCGGTGAGCGCCCGCCAAGGTGGACGCCCTGCAGGACGAGCACGGCGTCACGCTCACGAGCACCGACGCCATGCTCCAGCACGCGCAGCAGCACTTCGAGACGCTGCTTTATCACGCACCAGCCTCCGCAGCACCTGCGGAGCCGGTCATCCTCCACGAAGTCATCTAACCAGTCATGAACGAGGAAGACAACCAGCAGCTGCTCACAGGCCCGTCACCACCGAGGAGCTCGAGAGCGCGCTGCAGTCATCACCTACAGGTAAATCTCCCGGTGATGATGGGCTAACAGCTGAATTCTATTGTACAGTGTGGGACACCATCAAGGACGACTTCGTGGACGTGTGCAACGCCATGCTGCAGCGCCGCGCGGTCGCCTCGAGCCACACTCGCGGGGTCCTGACCTTGACCCCAAGGCAAGGGTGGGACCGCAGGAGGGGCACCAAGCCTTTTCCAGATGCGGCCCATCACCCTCCTCAACGTGGACTGCAAGGTGTTTTCGCGACTCGTAACGCGGCGGCTCTGCACGCTGCAGAGCAAAATGCTTGACCCGATGCAGGTGCGGGGCGGCGGCGGCGCGAGGGACATGCACGGCTCCCTTGCTGACCTTAGGGACGCGGCGGTCGATCTGGCCGACCGGCAGCGGGGCAACAAGACCAAGGCGTGCCTCGTGTCGGTGGACTTCGCCGGCGCCTTCAACAGCGTCGCGCACGACTACATTTGGGCGGTGCTGCGCCGATACGGCGTCTCCAAGGACTTCGTGGAGCTGCTGGTGACCATGTACTCCGGGGCCAAGACGCGCATCCAGCTAAACGGCGTGCTGTCTGCAGCAGTGCTCCTGCCGCGGGGTAAGGCAAGGGTGCCCGTTGTCGATGATAATTTTCAACATCATTATGTCTCCCCTTATAAAGGTGCTCAACAAGAGGCTCGTCGGGCTCACCATCCCCGACGTTATCGACAGAGGCGCCACGCCCCGCCTTGCCGCGACGGCGTATGTGTACGACGTGACCGTGATCCTGGACAACGCCGACGAGGTCGAGGTGCTGTCTAATGCCCTGGAGCACTTCGGGAGGGACGGAGTCCGGGCTGCGTGTCAACGCCGCAAAGTCCAAGGCTCTCCCGCTCGGGTCAGGACGCACTTGTTGACGCCAGGCTCCGAGTATTTAATATCTGACAGCGGGCACAGTACTGCAACACATATGCCCTGTCCATTTAGTGGCACACAGCTCAGATACTGCCGCTCCCTGCCGGCACCCTGCAGGACGTCAGAAAGGCCCTGTCAGCGCTGCTCTGGGCCGGGGAGCCCCTTCGCATTGCCTTCGATGTGCTGGTGTTTCCTGCAAGCCGGGGCGGTCTCGGCCTCCACATACCCAGTTGCCAAGGCTAGGGCCATGTTCACACAAGTTCACGCCTACGTCGCAGCGCGCGGCCGAGCCCTCGCTATCCGGTGGCTGGCTCTCCATCCTCGACACACTATATGGCGATGGCGAGCAGAGAGTGTTATAGAGAAAAAATGTCGTCCACCGATGATGGTGTGTTGCGGCTCGATTGTACGGACTCCTGAGAGGAAGAACAAGTGGTGGGTACTATAGTGTGTGGAATTCGTGTGAGTGAAATCGCGTGAGACCAGAGAGGTGTCGGACTCCTAACCTTTTGCTACCTCAAGTGTCCCTCCGCCATTCATTCTTGAACTCATTAATTCACAAGTGCGCTTTTCAAAGCCTTGATTGAGTTCGCCGCGCTCTTCGAAATAACCGCCTTACCTAACCTCACCGCATGCCGAGTTCTCACGAAATTCTATCTTTTCAGCGTGTCAACATACGCTTTAAGGGGGAGAGGCCCCCCGAGACCCCCTCAGTCCCAACCCCTCCCTCCGACTAGTCAGCGGGGCCATCATCGCGCCCCACTGCGACAGAAGATGACATGGCCAAGGAGGTAGGGCGCGCCTTTGCGTCGAGGATCGCCATCGTCCACACCCAACCCCGCATCGTAAGTATCCTCGTCTGAGTTCAGTGCCGTTGCAAGTTAGATGTCGTCTTAACCTCTGTTTGTCTGTTCAGCCTGTTCGTGAGAGGCTCGGCGTGCGTGAGGTGGAGGAGGATGACCCCACCCCGGCAGAGCGTGGCCGCGGGCTAGGCCGCGGTTCGTGGCGCGGCCGCCGATTCATCGGCCCCCCTCCTCAGCGCGAAGTAAGTCTCTCAGCATCTTCTCCTGCGTGATGTACTTGGCACTGTCTAACTCTTTTCCTTACAGCCTGTTCACAGCCGTCTGGGCGAGCAAGGGGACCAACAGTGGCGCGGCCCCGGATTGCGCCTGGCCGCCACTGCCCGCCCAGTCCGCGCAGCCGTTGACGCTTCCCCCGCCCCCAAGCCAGCCATCACAGTCGCAGCCATGAGGGACGCCGTCAGGCGGGCCGAGGCGGCAGCAGAGCGGTGGGTCGCCAAGAAGGCCACCAAAGGCGGCCACCGAGGCCGTGCGTGAGGCGGCGGAGGCACCGGTGAGTATCACTTCGTCCTCATGATTCTCTATTGTTTGACATGGCTTCTAACTTGGTCTTTTTAGCCCGCTCTTTTGCTTATTAGCCCGCTCTTTTGCTTAAAAGCTATATAAGCGGGCTTATGCCATCGCCTCTGTGTTCGTCTGTCTGTCTGTCTGTC